CTTGCAAAGGCTGCTGGTATGGGAATAGTAGATGTGGGATACATTGCAAGGACAGGGGAGAGGGTGAGGGCCTCTGATTGCCTGGGTCAGCTCAAGGGTCAACCAATAGTCTCGTCCTCTTGATGACCTCCTCCAAAAGATATTGAGAAGAAGCAAGCAAAGACATAGGAGAACAATAAGGCAAATGATAAAGTGAATTTTCCATGAGTATTTGGAATTTAGAGGGCCCCTTTTTTTCTGGCATGTCATGAACATGACTAAGCACTGGGCTCAAAGAGTGGTAGAGTAGAAATTGTAGATAAAGGGAAAAAGAATAACGACATCAAGACATGTTCTAGTAAGTCAACTTTCCATGTGTCTGAAAAGTATTCTTTTGAAAAACAAAAGCAAAAACAAACAAAAAAGTACAAATAAATGTCTTGTAGGAAATTTTTATAAAACATCTTTCCTTATTTCTGCCACAAAATGTTGAGCAAACTTTACCTTTTTCTTGGTGTATTAGTTAATTATACCTGCAATTATGCTGCATGTCAAGTAATCATAAAAACCTCCAAATGATAAAATATTCAGCAGTTATTTACATGCATCTCTAGGTTGTCATGGTCTAAGGGTGAAACTCGGGGAATCAATAACATAGTTAAATTTAGGTAGTTTGTAGTTTGATCCACCCTGATATTCAGCTGTTTTCTCTGTTTTTCCCTTCACTAATTAAGAGCTGTTTTGTTCCCTTTTTCAAGGCTATACATATCTTGTTAATTCATTTAATCAGCAGAATCCTAACCTGAAAAGGACAATTTCTTAATCCTCAGGCATCTGGACATTGGAGTCTATTTTGCAGCTCCCTAGCAGGTTTTACTGGTGACGCATAAAGCCTGAGGCTACGGGAGTCCAGAGATAACATTATTTTAGACTAGAACCCAGGAAGGATGTCAGCCCTGAACCTGCCTGACCGCTCCCCCTTTCCTTTGTTCTTCTTGTGTACCTATAAAACCTTCTGACGGTCTAGGAACGGGGAGGTGGCCTTTGGACAGGAGTCCGCCATCCTCCTAGATGCCTGCATCCTGAGCAAACCTGCTTGCCTTTCCACCAACCTCCTCTCTCAATTTTTACCTTTTTCAAGAGGCAGCCGGACCTTAGCACAGTACCGATGGGATCAGCTGACCTAGGATGCCTGTGACTGGAATCGTTGCTCCAAGACATATCTCTGGCTGGGCTGGGCTGTCTGCTTCTTTTGGGCTCTGTGCCCACCTGCAAATATTCATTCTAGGCTCCAGGCTGGAGTCAGTAGTCATACATGGAGGCTCTTCCGAAGGTAGAGATGCAGGAGAGCAAGCCCACTTGTTCAACTGCTCTCAGCCCTCTGCTTGCATCATGTCTGCTGATTAGCCAAAGCAAGTCACGTGGATGAGCCCCAAATGAAGGGATTTGTTCTCCATCCCAGGAGTGGGGGCAAGGCGAAGAGGCAAAATATTTTTGGTGGAAGTACAGCTGAGGAGAAGAGATAATATTTTTGTACAAATATCAAATCTGTCACACTTGGTAATTCAGAATCATGATATTAATTACTTCTTGTGCTGTGCTGTAAGGTAGTCATATTCAGTATAAAGAAGTATAAAGAAGGGTCGTTTGACTCTGATTAAATGATCCCTTCTGCTGCTGCCTTCTGAATCCTTAATGCTGCCATTGTGTCTATAGCTGTTCTTAATTCTACTTAATTTCACACACGGCTCTTTGAGTGAAGACCTTAAGGTGATGTTCAGCGATTTAACAGGACCTTTTCTTGTTGCTTCAATGTTTTGTTTTATTTTTTTCCTGTTATTTTGCATTGTTACAATGTTTGCTGGTCTGACAAATGGACCATTATTGTGCTTGTATTGTTATTCTAATGCCTTCCTCCTCAAGAAGTGGAAAATGCAAAGCTTTTTCTTTTGGAAAAATGAATTCTATTTCCTTAAAAAATATAAATATATCTCCATCTATCTACATGATGTTTGTATTTTCAAAGGAAGGCACTGATCAATTAAGAGATGAAAAGTACTGAATTGCAAAGGTTTTTAAAAATTAAAATGTTATGTACATATCTGTTCTTTATTCAAATTATGAAGCATTTCTAACATGTAGAAAAGAGCTTATCTATTTTTTATGCAATTGCAGACATCGCATTGAATTGAAACTAATTAGTATCTGTCTATATTTATACCTATATAGATATCTTTCAAAGAAGACTGGAATTTTTCAGTAAGTTTGCATTTTCATAGCAGATAAACGAGCTTTACTCATACGGCTACCATTTGTCCTCTCAGCCTAATGTGTCTGTGCTGCATGTATATACAATTAATTTCACCCATGTAAAGTAGATTATTTTATTGCTCTGTAACTCTAGTTTCCTCCTAAGCAATACAGTCCACAAAGTTGTCACCTTCAAGGGCGAGGTATTTTTTCTTAGTGCCCACCAAAATAAACATGTCCTTATTAAAATAAAAATGTCAATTCTGTACCATCTTACATATCTAGTTTACAGCTATTAATTACCTGGCCTAACATGCACAGGGAAACACTGTTTTAAGGGCAGCTCTGCCAGACTAGAAATGTAGGAGCCTAGTGAAGCAGCAATATCATTTGAAAAGAGCCATTCACTTTTCCTTTCTAATTGTTTTTCAGGTTTGTGGAAGGAATGCTTAACATTTGTTACAATGCCATTGATCGTCACATTGAAAATGGTAAAGGAGATAAGATCGCAATCATCTATGACAGTCCTGTTACCAATACTAAAGCAGCTATTACCTATAAAGAAGTCCTAGAGCAGGTAATGTCCTAAATTTTCTATATGTGTCACTTGGCAATCTTACAGAAATTATTTAACTAGTATACATTATCATGGTATAAGCTTTAATTCCCTTAATTGACATGTTACTGTTCTCTTGATGCACATCGGAAATAGAGGTGTGTTAACTCATTAAAAGTGCTTTTAGCCCTTACATTTATATTTTACATTACTGGAAAATGCTCCTTTTAGCGGGAGAGGGTAGCAAATCTCTAAGAATATGTTTACGTCCTCTCTGGCCTTTGTTTTCTCTTCACGTTGCCATCACCTTGATCCAGCCATTCTAAATTTAGCTGTGGTGCTACTGAGGCCTTCTCTTAACTTCCTTATTACCAGGTCTGCTCGTGTCAATCGCCCCCGAAACTCACACCCGTTTTCTTCCTAAGGAACAACATATTTCTCTACCCCTCCTAAAATGTTGTTCCATTAAAATGATTGTTATTCAAAGAGTGAAATCTGGACTCCTGTGCTCCTGTGATATATAAGACACTTGGGATTCTGATCACAGCATCAGATCGCAAGCCTTATTTCCCATCATTCGCGGCCACGAACACAACTGTTTTTTCATTCTGGGTGTCCTGTCACTCCCTCAGGCGTCCCTGCCCCTCTGTAGCTCTTTGCCTATGCTTCCCCTTATTGGCTTTCTCTTATTTGCTCTTTTTTCAGTTCTTTCCCACCTGTGTAGTGCTTAGTGAATCATAATATTAACAGACGAATTATGAGATTTTCTTCAAACATTCAGGTAGAAGGGAGGTTTCAGAAGCAATTATAAAAGTATCTGCGTATTGTGGACTGTGGGAGAGTTATTCTAGCCCTATGGGACATTTATTTATATCTGATTTAAAGGCAGATAATAGTGTAGGGCAGGGTTTGTCAGCCTTGACACTGCTGACATTTTAAGTCAATGCATTTTTTTTGTTGTTGTGGGATGGGATGCTGTTGTCACTGTAGGATGTTTGGCAGCATTCCTGGTTTCTAGCCATTGGATGCCAGCAGCACCCCTCACCCAGCTGCGATGACCAAAAATGTCTCCAAATGTTGCAAAATGTTCCCTGGGTGGTAAAACCACCACTAGTTGGAAACTACTGGTTGAGTACAGTCTGTCTGACTAGGGTTTGGAAGCATTCACTTTTCAATTAAGGGTTGTTGAATTGCATTTTCTTCTTTTGCTTTTTTAACCTCTTTAGCATTTCCAATTGAGTTTTAGAAAGTTTGTTCAACTCTCTCTGATTCTCTGAAATTCTATCCTTTTCCATCAGCAATGTTCCTGTTTAGCCTTCTAAGAGAATTCAAGAAAGGCAAATGAGATGAAACAGTTAACTCCCCAATCCTGGGTTGTTGCAATAATCAAGAGAAAAAAACTTCAGCTAGTTTTGCTCAGGCTGGGGGACAAATCCCAGCTTCCGCTGATTTAAACACAAGAGGAATTGATGAAAAGGGAAGACTGAAGAACCAGACTCAGAAAAATGACAGAGCCCAAGGAAACATAGGCAGCGGTGAAGGAGAACCCACAAACTGTAGGAACTAGATTTGCTGACCTGAATTGATCTCCTCCTTGACTGACAGAATAGAAGCTTTTATCTGGCTACAGGCAGTGGGGAGCAACTGTCTTGTTCTCTCTGGGTTTCATAGTAGGAACTGGGGTCCTGCCTCCCTCTAGGACTCATACTAGGGGAATTCCAGTCTAATAAGGGAGTTCAAATGCTGGACAGCCCAAGACAGAACAAAACAAAATAATGCCGCAGATATACTGTTGGCTTCTTTACGTTGTAAAGTAAGTGGGTACTGTGTATTTTCAGAATGGACTAGACAGAGCTCACATTGGGGCTGAGGAAGATAGGACCTCGGTTACCAGGTGACTTTGTTATTCCTATGAGGTCCTGTTTTTTTTATTTAGAGATAGTGTACATTTCTTGATAACCTATTATACTCTATATTTTATTTTGGGTTTGCATTTTCAGTTTTTGATGAGGTTTAGTTTTTGACTAAAAAACTATTATTTAGGCATATTGTCACACTCTCACTAATATCAAGGCCTTAGAGGTTGGTAGAGCTTAATTGGTATACAGATTAGGAAGCTTATTTACACATTATAAAAATGTTATCTATATCACCATATTAAATTTGATAGATAACCAAATATCGAAGTTAAAGGAAAAGCTTTGGAGCAATCTAAGATCAGAAGAGTTTGATAATGTTTGCTGCTCTTATCATTTCTTGTTTTCTTTTTAATCAGTTACGTAAGTATATATGATAAATACACACCGATGTTTGTCTTGGAAGCTTTTTTGCTCACCTTGATTTTCGAATATTTAGTCTAGACTCTTAGACCCTTTGGAGGTTTGTACTGGTGCATTGGTTTCAGTTTGGCCTGTCATCAAAGTACTTAAATAAGTCTGTTTCTCCTGCCTGCTCACAGTGTCCGATTCCCTGGGCTTTTCTTCACTAAAGCACGAAAGGAAGAGCTGTTAGGAAAAAGGCAGGTGATTGTGCTCCACTTTGATTACCAGCTCCTAGGTTCCCAGTGGCCTTTATTTTAATAAGTAGAGAAGACAGAGAAAGACAGATTTAATGAGTAATGCCATTGTGAACAAACAAAAAGAAGTGCCTTTGTGCTTGACCTCTTTTAATCTCCTCTATATTTCTACTGGGAGTTTCTGGCTAGGTAAAACTTAAGTTAGTTAGCATGTCTTAATTAGTGAACCAATAATTCTAGGCTGAGTTGTTTCAGTGACATGAAAGATCTGAAGATTTTACAGAATTATTCAGAAGTAGAGGTTTTCCAAAATTGTCATATTTTATGTAGATCTGTTCATTTAATCAACGCTTTAAGATTTTGGAGAGAAACCTGAGCCTGGTTAACAACTATCATTCATTCAACAAATATTTATTTTGTATGCCAAACCCTGTTAGGAGCAAGGGATACAGGCAGGTAAAAGGGCCATTCCTTATTTTTAAGGAGCTAAAACAAAACAAAACATGTAAATATTATAGAACAGAAAGAGTTTGTCCACCCAGAATGAGCAGAGCCAAATACTAAACACTGAGAACTGCAGTGGAGTAATACTGGCTATTTTATTGATCAATGGCACCATCCAGCAGAACAGAAAGTTAACGCTCAAAAGCCGGAACTCCCAGATGGCGGGTAGGTTACAGATTACACAGGGCAAGGTCACAAGACGCTGTGGGTTAGGGGTTTGGGTTGTGCTGGGAGCGGATTGGTGGGAGGTGAGGTGAAGGTAATGAATCATTTCTTCAGATCTTGAGGACAGCTCTGAGGCATTTTCTGGTGTCCCTCTGTCTGGTCTCATGTGAAAATCACCAGGGAGTCATTCCATATTAGGGCTCAGGGACTGAAATCTACCTTAGGTCAAGATGTTATCTTTAGCCTGCCAGAGGTCCAGCTGGTGTGTGACGGTGTGACCATTAGTCTGGTCTGGGCTACTGTCTTCTGCTGCTGGGGGTGGGGGCGGTGCTGATTCTCCACCGGAAAGGCTAGTCTGTGAGATTTTATATATATAGGGAGAGAGAGAGAGAGAGAGAGAGAGAGAGAGAGAGAGAGAGAGAGAGAGAGAGAGAGAGAG